TCTCTTGTTGTTAGGAGCTTTTATATGATGCAGAAGTAGAGGGTACAAAGGAGGTACATAGGCAAGACAGAAGAGCCTGAAAGTTCTGTGAACAGCAGGATGAAGTGATCAGTTACAAGCGTACATGAATGATCATCACTTCATGAAGCTTGGTACAATCAGGCATCCTGAGTGTTCCATTGCAGTTTGGGGGTTACAGGGGTCAAGCAAGTAATTATAAAAACATGAACAGTTACAGAGCTAAGCAGTTTCAAAAGAAGTTTCAAAATATCTCAGGTTCAGTTTTTCCCTTTCAACAAAGCGTTCTGTGTGCATACTGAAGCACACATAACTTAAGTCCACCACCACTGCTCTACACCCATTGAACAATTACTATTCCTTCCTTTCATGCCATCCCATAGTAACCACTATTCTACTTTTTGTTTCTGAATTTTCCTATTCCTACTCAAGGTAGCTCATACAAGTGGAAGTGTACATTTGTCCTTTTGTTCCTGACTAACTCTACTTTACATGATCTTTTCAATGTCTAGCCATTGTGTAGTTTTTAAAATGCTTGTAAGGCACCTTCCTCCAGTTTCTGTACTTATTTGCTGATCACTATTTTTAAGAGCAAAGGAATTTACCCCAAAATCTCCAACTCAGCTTCTCTTGTTTAGTATTGGTGAAAACTAGATCATATGACCATTCTTAACCAATCATTGCTAAGGGTAATAGAACTATTGGAGTTGACTCAGCCCACCTGGAACCTTCTTTTTAGAATTAGAATGTGAAATTTTGTTTTCTGAATTTCAGGGCTTTCTAAAATTAGCGTAGGTGTTGAAAAAGATGGTTTTTCCCTTGGACTTTTTAATGAGTCAAATCCTCAAAGGAATGATGCTTCAATGCTATCAACAGTTCAGATAATGAAACTAGAAAGCAGAAAGAAAAGGCAGGGTGGCAAGCCAGGAGGCTGAAAAAATAATAAAAAATATGGTCCAATGCAATGGGGGCTGGAATAAATGATTCTCAAGATCTTACCCAATCCTGAAATAATATATTCTCTGGGTTTCCCAATGCCACCACTTACAATCATGGGAATTCAGAACACATTTTCATGTGGGAGGGGTGATGTAAGAGGCCAAGTCAATTTCTGTTACTCAGGGCCAATGATCAAATCTTGTTAGTGTTCTGTATAAGAAAGGCTTATTTCTTCTACTATTCCCAGGTATGGAAAAATGGATTTCAGAATAATGACACTGAGATGAAAAGTCAGGAAAGAGGACAGGATGGGGAATGACTTAGAAATTGCACAAGTGTAAAGATTGAAAAGGTGTAGAAATGTTGTCTACAATCATGTTCCAGTGGATATGCCTCTCTTCTCTCCTGAGTTTTCATCTCATGTGCTGGACAGCTCCGCTCACATCTGGCACAGGCAATGGGTCATGACCAAGGCTAACTGGGTCCTGAACCTGCTCTTTGCCTGTACCTCTCATCTTCACTGTGAGCACCCACTCCTAATCATCTACTTCATCCTCTGATCTCATGTCCTGTCTTTTTCACCCTCTCTCTTTTTCTCTTTGTTTCTATTACAGCAATGGGGATTGAACCTAGGCCTTTTTCTAAAGGCCTTTTCCTGAAATAATAATAATTATTATTCTGAGACATGGTCTTGCTAAATGGCCCAGGCTAGACTTGAACTTATCATTCTCCTGCCTCAGTCTCCCAGAGTGCTAGAATTTCAGGCACGTACCACTCTACCCAGCTCCCTATTCCTTTTTACTTAAGTTTCAGCAAACACGTAGTTCTAACAGTGTTTTTTTCCCCCTAATTAAAAGCCATCAATAGTTTCCCACCAACTGGGGCATATATTCAAATTCTTTGGCAGGGCATTCAACACCCTTCCGCTGGTCTTACTTGGAAGACTTTCTCAGGGTTTTTGCTAAACTGTATCCTTTGCTCACACACCTTTCCCATTTCATAGCTTCCTGTTTTCATGTTTCCTCTGCAGGAAACAGTCTTCCCTTGATGTTCATTATTAACTCTTAATCATCCTCCAAGCTGCTGTTCCTTATTTTACTGAGAAAGCTGGCTTTAACCTTCACCCCTACCCCTGCTAGCGGCTGAGCTGTATGCCCGCCTGCTCTCAGAAAACTTTGCCCACCTTTGTCACGCAAACTAAGTATGTTATATGAAAACCATTGCTTATTTACTTCTCTTTATTCTTTATCTTAGCACTACCACAAGGCCAGGCAGAGTGGGCACTAAACAACTGTTGAGCAGAACCATTAAGAAGAGATGAGGGGGCCGGCCAAATAGCTCAGCAGATTAAAGTGCAGGGGCCAAAGGTTCGGGAGCACTGAGGGGGCAATTGAGATTGGGCGTGTGGAACACCCCTGTAATCCTAGCTCTTAGGAGGCTGGAAACAGGTGGATCACTTCGAGTCAGACCTAGTACTAAGACCCTGAACACCCTGTAGACCCTTTCCTAAAATACGAAGAAGAAGAGGAGGAGGAAGAGGAGGAGGAGGAGGAGGAAGAGGAAGAGGAAGAAGAAGAAGAGGAAGAGGAAGAGGAAGAGGAAGAGGAAGAAGAAGAAGAAGAAGAAGAAGAAGAAGAAGAAGAAGAAGAAGA